CACCGCCAGGGCCGCTTTTTTATCCTGCGTGGAAAGGGCAGGAAGTCTTTTCCATCAAAAAAAAAAAAAAAAATTAAAACTCAGGCTCCCGAGTTGCTCTGAAGGGATGGCACAAGGTTAAAAAAAGGGACAAAGTGACCTTGGGGACACTAGGCTGATCTTAGAGCTGGGTGAGGGGAAAAGGAGCGGACGGGCAGGGTGTGGTGTCTACTTCAAGGGGGAGAACTCCAGCTCGTGCTTCTCGGGGGTGTGTGGTGTAAAGCTGGGCTGAGGGGAAGCAAATGTGTGTGTCAGTGACTTTCATTTCTGGTTTTTCTCTTCTGCAAGTGGCTGACCCCATGGAGAAGCCCTGTTGGGGGCCAGTCTTCTGCCACACCTTGGGGTTTTATGGCAGTACCGAAAAATGGCGCTACTTGGTAGAATCTGGCAGCCTGCTCCTATTTTAAGAAGAAGTCAGTATGATCGCTTGGTGACTGTTGGATCAAGGAGGATCTCATCAGTGCAGACCTCATGTATGTAAGCAAGGGTTCCTGGCAACCCAGTGGGTGTGGTCTATTGCATGTCTCTTCTTGGGCATATTATGATTTGCTGTGACTGGTATCACAGAACACCCACTCAAGATTTTGAGGCATCTCGGCTTGTTTCATAGCTTTTTTCCATTAAAAACACATTTTCTGTGATGTACAATAATAATAACTGTCCTGTGCAAACCTCTTGCTTTGCTTGAAAAAACATTTACCTCAAAGGCAAATTCTTTGCTACAAGCGACGGTTTGCTGGGGTGAAGGGAGCAGTTACGTGGACTTTGTGCTCACCAGAGGAGCGTTCAAACCAGAAGTGGGGATGTCATGGCTGGGTGGTGATGCAAAGCGCTTGTCACCCAGCATGGGACGGCAGGATTCACCGGAGCCACCACACAGCTTAGCCTGCAACGCCAGCCATGCTCTGGAGACCAGCCAGGGACTGCACCAGCCCCAGCAGTAGTCCTTCTGTGGTAGAAGATGGTCTGGGAGGGAGGAAAAAGTTTGGGCTTCTCCAGAGACCCCAGCGGAGCAGCACACCTCTGCTGTGAGAGCCTGAGGTGGCTTGAGTCACGGACCACGTCCTGGCTTCCTCCTCTGGATCACGGAGAGCCACCAAAGTGCCTACCACCACCTCGGCTTCACCTTTACTGTCCTCAAGAGCATCGGAGAGTAACGGCCAGGAGCATCACACCAACAGGAAAAACCTCATCCTAATTAGGGCACGAGTGGAGTCGACTGCAGAAGCTGAAGACGCTGTGGCACAGGCAACATGAGACAACCATGTCTCCAAAGGAAACTTGCATCAACATCTTCCCGCACCAGGGAAGTCTTTGCCCTGATTGCATCTGTGGGCTTTTTGTGGTCTTACTTAGGAAATACTTTGATGGCTTACTTAAAAATCCCCCCTCTGGGGGAGAATGATGCATGCCAGTCCCAGAGGCTGGCTAATTTTGATTAACATCTGAATTTCGGGACCATGTCTAGAACAACCGTCTCTGTTTTATCCTTGGGGTCCAGCTTGGGGGGTGCAAAGGTACCCAGGGTGTAGCTGCACTGCTGCTGCTGGCTTTTCAGCAAAAGTTCCCAGGGGGTGGAGCTGTTGAGGGATATCTTGGCAAGTTTGAAGCGTGAAATAAGCCTCATTTGTGCTTTATGAATTATGAGCAATTTTGCTGCCAGCAAACTATTTCCTGAGTCAACCGAGTATGCATGTTTTTGGGAGAACAACTTCTAGGAGGACAACTCTCTAGGAGAACATCCTAGAACTTTTTTGAAGACCAACTTCTTCAATGTCACGTCTCTTTGGAGTTTTTAAAGCTTCACCAGTTCCTGCATGGTAGGGAGAAAAGCTGAAGGAATGGGGTGCAAGAGGAGGGGAAAAATCATTCAAGACACACAGCTGAATACAGATGTCCTCCAAGAAAAGTGGAACCAAGCGAAAGAGATGCTGCTGCACACCCAGTCTTGGCTCTGCCACTGCAGCTCCAGCTCTGGGGGAATGAGTTTGCCATCCGCTCCCTCTCCAGCAAGCAAACCACAGCGAGGTTGGGTAAAGGCGAATATCCACAGCGTGTTTTTGCCGAAACATTCATGCGGTGTCTGCAAGAGGAAGGCTGCACAGCCCCAGGCCAGCCCTGGCTGCTTGACACAGGCTGGCCCATTTCAGCTCAACTAAACCGGGCTTACCTGCGCCACACTGCAATTATGCAGTGGCCTAACACCTCTCCTTACCTTTTTCTCCTTTAATTCGACAGTGTCACCACGTCCTTCACGCAAAGGTGAGTGCAAGCAGAAGTAATTCTTCAGCTTGTGTAAAAACTTGATGAAAAACAAGTAAGAATCAAAGACCAGGGGTCTCTGCATCACTTTTCAGTACTGCTGACACCTAACTTGACCGTTGGAGGCATATTTAGCTTTGCTTAGGTATGTGCACTAGGACATCTTTCTCCTGGGATGTGCAGAAAATCCAAGCGTGGAGGAGACTAGGTTGAGCTTGGCTGTGTCTCACCCGCGTGTCCTGCTGGGCTGGACTTGCCCCATATTCACCAGGTTTGGTGATCACGCGCTGCCTGACAGGATGGTTTGTTCCCTTCGCAGCACAAAGCACGTGCCATCTGAAGGGGACGGGGTCTGGCGGGCAGCTCCGGGCTCCCATCCAGCAGACGGCATGGGAGGACATGAAATCCGGGCAAGGAGACGCTGTCTTCTTCTCACTACCTCCTCTTTTGCCACCACCTACAGAGAACATGAATACAGACGATCTCCAGGGGAGCTCGTTCCCTGAATGGGACAGAGGGAAGGAGCCAGGACCAGGCAGTGTGAAGGAAGGCTTTTGCCTCATCTTTCTGCAGGAGTTGGAAGAGATTCGGAAGATGGGGCAGGGTGTGGAGAGGCCCGAGGCTGTCGGATGCTGCTTGGGTCTGCCACTGGCTCTTGCCTTGTCCTGGGCAAGTGAGCCACAGATGCTGTCTCCACTGTGCCCTCGGCTTGTCCTGTCCCCTTTCCAGAGGTGGCACAAGTTGCTCAGAGCTGTGGAGGGTTTCCAGAGGAGGTTGAGCATCAACACACCCCGGACATCAGTGTTGCAATCCTGGGGCAGCCCCACTTCTAGCCCAGCTGTGCGTAGGTGTGGGTCACCCGCAGCCCTTTTG